TGTGGAAGGTGGTCTAGGTTGGCCCCTGGGGGGGAAAAAAACCATGAGACCCTATTTAAAAAACAACTGAAGTAGAGATGGCTGAGGGCTTAGTTCAAGTAGTAGAACCTGCGTAGGAGGTGCAATCCCTTAGTTTCAAGCCCAATACAGCAAAATAAATAAATAAATAAATAAATAAATAAATAAATAAATAAATAAAACCCTCTAAAGTTGTCAATCAAATACCTTATTGATTATGGAACTCTATTGTTATGACTTAAAAATTAGAGCAATTTCATAAAAATTATCAATAGACTTCACTATTCACCTTCACAAAAGCTCAAACTCTCCAAAATATCCCAGGGAATATGACTATTTCAAGTGATCTAACATAATGGAGTCATTTTGAGGTTTGTTATGCCAGTGTAGAAAGTGAATAACAGTGATTTTTCAGTATGTATGATTTCGCTGAATAGGATAAATAAGTGAAAAAGGAATTTTTACACCTCATATGACACATCTCCATTTTCATATTAGAGTATATTGAATTTTAGCTCATGAGATCTTACAGAAGAATCTGTCATGCTATTCAGATATATTGATTGATTGATAGATTTTTGTTGTTGTTTTTTTTTGTTTTTGAGAGAGGGTCTTGCTACATAGCCCACCCTGGCCTTGAGATCTTGATCCTTCTGCCTCTACCTCCCAAGACGGGAATTACAGGTGCATGTTGTGACACCCTGTGGGAGTCACATATCTAAAATCAAAGCAGTAGATAATGCTTTCAACAACATAGAAGAGAAAATCAACATTTGTAAAGTTAAAGCAAATCCCAGGTCACTTAAGCACTTTTCTTGGTTATACATTTTAGATTATCAAATTTATACACTATTTCTTTTCATATCTCAGGGCAATAATTAACTTTGCAGACTGAAATGTATTTCCCAAAGTGGGATGGAGGTGAACTTTCCAGAATCATTTATTTGTAACCAGTCATCATTTACTACAAATTCCCCTAAATATTCAGACTAGGTTTAGAATATGACACTGCAGCTCATCATAGTGGTGCACATATGTAATGTCAGCACTTGGGAGGCAGAGACAGGAGCATCTCGAGTTTGAGACCAGCCTGTGCTATCTAGAAAGACTTCGTCTTAAAGAAGCAATACAAAAATCTGAAAACAGTTAAATTCCACTGAAGGATGCAGCTTGAGCTATGATGGTCAGTGCAGTGGATGACTTTGAGCCCTAATTTACTCACTCTCATCCTGGGCAAAGTCTCTTGGGGAAGACTTGGGTCATCAGTTTTGAACAATGACCAACATGCTCATTTAAACAAAACAATAAAAGGAGTGAAATCTTTTGGGTCAGAGATAATTCATTTGTTGCTAATGGAAACATCACATCAAAGACTATTTCAAAACTGTATACCAAATATTAAAATTCTAGAATGTAGTATTACAAGTCCTGGGGTTCCCTCTGCTCTAGGTGGGCCATTCTTGTAATACCTTTCTTACCTCATCATGATGAACATTTAAGCCTTGGTTTAATGATATACCTGGAATTTCCATCACCTTTACTCCCACCTTCTTCCTGTTCTAATTTATTGAACATTTTGAATGTAACATTACTGCTATAAATATATAATCAAATGATTAAAAATATAATTAAGTAATTTAAATATATTTCACAATACTTGTTAGGTGATTATTTGGACAGCATTTATTTGAAATAACATGTTTGGCCACTAGATGTCACCCTTTCTTAAGCAACAAAGACGACTTCACAGAGCATGCACTGTTAGCAGCTACATTCATAGCATTACAGTTGTTCTTCATATAGTTCTCACTACAATACTTAGCACTTAGGCATCAAAAGACTCTGTACTCTCTGTAAAGTCCTAAGAAAGTGGAAAAGGTATGGGTGGTAGAAGGTTTATCAAACAGCTAAATATCTGATGTTGGAGACCAAATAACTCAAATATAATTATTAATTGGCAATAGATTTATTTCTCATAATAAAAATTTCACATTCAATTTGTGTTTTATCTCTGCATTATAAATATTATTCTCAAAAAATTTTCTTCCTCTCATTTTTAAAATAATTTCATTTATTTATCATCATTATAACATCTATAAAATTAGTTTTACTCAGTGTGGTATTTTTGCATTTCAAGTCTTTCCACTATTTACTGTACCAGTCTTCCTGCAGTTGATGTTTGACTTATAGATGCATGAAGGAAAATATATCATGGAACACAAAATAAAGTTATGGCACAGTACTTCTTTTCCTAGTACGGACAATGAACAGATTATCTGAAAACACCTTATCCTCGTCTTGTGCAAATATGCCACATCCCATTCCTAAAGAGCTCCAATTCTCTAACATAAATTAAATAGAGTGTGCAATATCTTGTACCGAAGAGGGAAATAAGATTAGATCTTGGAAGCACCATTACTTTGACATCACTTTAATGGAAACTTAAATTTTATGAGAAAATAAATGATTTGAAAAGCAAAAGCCAGGGTTTCCTATAATGCACCTTTCATCAGTTAAACCTGATTTAAATCCCACCAATTTGCAAAGCTAACTAATTAAAATGCAATTTATAATAACATTTTTTTAATTTGAAAGCATAATTCTCATACAAATATAAAATGAACACACAAGAATGATCTCAGTTGCCAGGTGTGATGGCACACATCTGTACTCCCAGCACTCAGGAGGCTGAGTCAGGAGGCTTACAATTTCCAGTCCAGTCTGGGCTACATAGTGAGACACTATCTCAAAACACAAAACAAAATAAAAAACGAGTACATCAAAAAAAAAAAAAGGAAGGGAAGGAGGAAATGAAGGATGGAGGAAGGAAGTAAGGAGGGAGTCTGTGAGGGAGAGAGGAAGAAAGGAGGGAAGGAAGAATCTCATTTAGCTCAATAATTAATGGAGGTATCAGTAAGATGGCAAGACAGGTATAAGAGATATTTCAAGGAATGGTGATTTACACTATCATTTGCACAAAGGCCTGCTGAAACAAGCTTGGTGATGGACAAAACTTAATGTCCTGTAAGGTTACAGATTATAACCTTTGGGGTTATCTTTTCTGCTTGAGTAAAATGATCGCCATTGAGCAAAAGTCCACATGTTAACATGCAAATTCATAGGGAGTTAAAAAAACTGGTAGTGATTAAGTATTAAATAATTACCAGACAATATTTATTAAAGGATGCCCCAATGACACTTTAAAAATGTCACTCATGTTTTTCCATTGTTTTTCAACTTTGGAACATTTTTATATAGTCCAGTGTCTTGATTGCATATAATAAAATGCTTATACTTAGTGCCTTACATGTACAAATCATTTTATTCTCACAACATTTGTCTATGAGATAGATACAGATATTATTTCCATTATGAGGCTATAACCCTGAGAGGTGAAGAACATTCTTGAGATTACATATTAGCAAGAGACCAAACTGAAAGCTGAATCTGGTTTGCCTCTATGGTCTTTCTTCTGAGAGCAAAGACTTAACATGTACTTAAACACTGTCTAAGAGATCTGGGGATTCCACAAAATGAAGCACATGTGAACACTTTGCAACTGAATCACTCTTTCCTGTTCCTCTTCCATGGTGAGAGAAATGGAGTGCAATATATTTTTACTATAAGGTCAGAGCTTAACTTCTACCATTGGCCTCCTCCAGAATCTGTAGATTATCCCCTTCACCCCACCATTATCGACTTGTTCTTGGAGTTGCTATAATTTAATACAATTTAAATAAATGGAGAGGGAGAAATGGAGAGGATGGTGAATCATCACACAAAAGCAAGCAATATCTTCTATACTATTTATGTGGAAAACAATTCTGCTAGCTGAAATATTATCAATGATTTCATTAGAAATAAAATGCTGACATGAAGATACATGTATTCTTATAAATAGATGCTTTGTATACTGGTCTGAAAGGATTTGGGACATAGAAATGTAATGTACTGACTTCAGTATATTCAAGGAAGATAACACTGTCTAAACAAAATACACAGTTTAATTTTAAATTTTTCTAGAAATTCTAAACATGGTTAAATTAACTATAGAAAGCATCTTAAATTCCTAGGATTTATATGCACCAAACTCCAGAAATGTGAGGTGCTCCAAGATCTACTATAAATTCATCTCTAGTTCCTGTAAAGATTATACCACTCAGCCAGTGGTTGAGAAGATTCAGAAAACTAATCAAACATTATAATATTATCCATTGAGAGTCTAGACAGTGTTCTCATTACACACATTCCAACACAACAACTATAAAAAGGCTTCTTTTTTCACTTCCCAGAATATTATTTCTTTATCGCCATACGAAATAAAAATAAAAGGAGCACTTGTGAGTTCTCCAGTCAAATAAAAATGTGTAAATGTGTTGGTGTATTACATTTGCATTTATACTTGCTCTAAAACATGAAAAGATTTATATAAAATAGAAAAGTATTAATTTTTATGTAGTCAGTCTGTCGTTCAGTGTTCGTCTTCTTCAAGTTTCATGGATTATAAAGTCTTTCAGGACAGATGATATTCCCTACAAGCCATCCTGTAACTTTTATAGCTTTAAAGGTAGATATAACTTTAATAATAACATTCCACATTTCAAGCTCTATTAGGCACAGCTCTGGTTGCCTTTGATTTATTCATCGATGTGGGGAATCTGAAATTTTCTAAAGTTTAATTTTTGAAAAAAAATTCAAGTGGCTTTTTTGCATTAAACCATTTTCTCTACATGATTGCAGAGACTCATTTCAGCATTGAAGCTTCCCCTTTTATGATTAAATTTCTTGTTTAGTCAATTGAACTCTTCAGAAAGCATTTACTTCTGATAAAGTATGGCATTGCTAATAGAGCACTTAAACAATTACAATCTAATCCATATTTCTATTGGATAGCATCCTAAGGAACTCATGTAAAGTTAACACAATTATGAATACACATTAATTTGCTCATCACAAAGGAAAAGTCTGAAGATGGTACTCACGCAGGTTTAATGGTATAGGCATGTTTTTCATGGACAAATGCACCAGCAAGACCTCCTGCTCCTGAATTTAAATACTGTGATTGAAAATAATATAATTTCATGAGTTTACCTGAATATATAAGAAAAATAAATAATAGTCATCTTCCATTTGTTAATGAAACCATAACTTTTGACCAATTCAAAATATGTGATTGTTTGAGCTTTTGTGATAAAACAGAATCTTGGGTCACCTTGTCGAAAGAAAAACAAGCCATACATAGTGGCCACACGTAGATAGTTACAGGCCAGCCTGATTGATTTTTTTTTCTTTTTTTTTTGCCAAATTTTGCCCCAGCTAGTAGATAGCAGCTACTATTAGACCTAACAGACTGCAATGTTCATATATTCAAATTAGTTTTTCATAAAATATTAAAATAATAAAAGTAGCTAAATTTAAATTGGCTTCATTTCATGTTCTCCAACAACTAAATCGTCTTTATATACCAATACTATGCTGATTCTCTAAGGATTATATTTATGTATGCAGAAATTTCATAACTTAGTTTTCACACACATACACACACAGTCAAGGACCTTACTCAATTTGAATTAAATTGCAAGTATGGGGTTTTTTCACCAGAACCTCCTGATTTTTTTCATAGCACTGTAGGAATTAAAGAAAAAGGAATAAATTCTCTATAGTGGTGGAAATACTGGAAATAAATTATCACATTATACAGGCATATTACTACTATTAACTAAACTCAGAAAATACAAAATGAAAGACATAAGGGTAAGTAATTCATATCTTAAAACAGGCCATACATCTAGTTTTTCATTTAGACTTATGCCAATATAATATAAAAAGGTATAAATATATTAACTAGCCTGTACCTTATAGGAACACCAGCAGGCAAAATCAACTCCCCAGTCGTGTAAGTAGAGCTCAACATTTCCAACTGCGTGTGCTAGATCAAAGCCAACAAAGCAACCCTAGGGAAGAACATGACAAATTTTGAATTTGCTAAATGATTAGAAATAGTAAGTATAATTATCTTTAAGAAAGTCATTGGCAAACTCATATGTCATAAATAATGGTTCATTCTTTGATGTTATAGTTCAAAACGTGAGATTCACAATTCTCAAGACCCTTTCAGAAGGCCTGTCAGATTAAATCAATATTCTTTCCCTTCTCCACTAGGTTGACATTTGCACTCAGAATGCAAGAGTAGTGAAGGAGATAAAACTTCAGGTACCTTAGCAGAAACCAAGGAATCAACACCAAACTATGCTGGTAGTCATTGCATTTGTCCCAGCTATTCACTTGTGAGGCAGGGAGGGTTCACTTAAAAATTTCCTTGTTAAAGCTGTAAAAGGATCAGTGTTTATTATTCTCAATTTTTATGTTTAATATAACAGGTACATGAAAAATATTTGGTCACTTTCTGAATTGGAATTATTGTCTCAAAGTAATGCAATTGTACAATTATTTGAGTTGCAAGCTGAAATAGCCATTTTTTGTATTAAAGAATAACTGATAGACAATTGTAATTCAAGTTTGGGTACTTAAAGACATTATTTTTTAAATGAATGAGGTGATTGTCACTTTAAATAAAATAGTTCACAGTATTTTTACCTAAAGATAAAATTAGAGTGTCCAAGACAAATTAGAATTTTGGAAAACTTGTGTCCCCTTCCTTGAGCATCACCACTACCCAGCATTAAGAGATATTACTGAAGAGTTTAGTGGTAATATATATTTTTAAAAATATTTTACAATTTAATACATTAAAGTTTCAAATATTATTCAATGAGCAGTAGTTTCCAAATAAGAAATGCTTGATGTTCCATTTAATGTATAGATAAAAAATCTATTCAAAATAAAAGTTCAACCACTGCAGTTTAATATAACAGAGTAAACAGTTTAGTGATTTACTTTCAAATTCCATACCACAACTGCTAAGAAGGTTTACTTGTCAAATTTTGGTGCAATGTACTCATGTATGAAAACGAAAAAATGAGACCTGTTGAAATTGTTACAGGAGTGGGGGGATGGGGAATAAAGGAGAATGATGGGTGAATTCAACTATGATATATTGTAAGAACTTTTGTAAATGGCACAAAGTATCCCAGAACAACAATAATAAAAAAATAGCTAAGAAAATCCACAATTGGCTGAAAAGTTTATTAAAGTAATCCTGTCTTTTTCAACAACATGCCTGCATGAATAACAGCTTTTTAATGTTTCATCTTTAGGAAAAAGAAAGGTGGAATGCAGAAGCAAGTATAAAAAGACAGTTATCTTTTATTATGTCAGATGTTAGTGAGACTTGCCACATATAAAACAATGAAACTCTTTTTTTGTTTTAGAAAACAAGTTTTTATAATATATTACTTACACTAATGTGGCATTTGTTGTTATTCTAAAGTAAATATATTTTAAAATTATCTTTAGTTAAAAGTATAAATACAGGTAGATATAAACATAGTAAATCCTCTTTTTAGATCCTTGATGATTTTTATGAATATAAAAGATTTCCATTTCTACAAAGCTACAAACTATTGCTTTAGTGAATACTAGTAATGTGAAGGAGTTCAGAGTTTAGGGGTTAGCACTTAATCCTACATCCCATTTAATTTAAGCAGTACACACACTGTGTCAATCACACTGATGGTTCTGATTCTTTGTTCTTCCTTGTGTCTATGTACTTTGTCTTCCCACAGGGGACGAGGTGAGATTCTCTGCTTCTGGCTTAGCTATATGACTTGTTTTGCCAACAGAATATCAGCACATGTAACATAAGCAAAGTCTTATAAAACACGAGTGACTTTGTCTTGCCCTCTGCCAACCTGCTGGCTGAGACAAAAGGGAAAGAATCATTCTCATCTGAGCTCATCCTAGATCCCCAGCTCTCCTACACCCTCAGTCACCACAGATATGGGAGTGAACTTAACTGAGACAGCCAAGTCCTAACTAGATCAGCTGACACACACAAAAATGAGACTATTATTTCAAGCTAGCAAATTTTGAGATGCTTTGTTATATTGCATTTCCATGGCAAGAACTAGCTAACACATATATATACTTGATCCAAAATGGGTGAGGCATAATTCACATCTTAGGAAGAATAGATGCTATTCTACTCAAAAGTAGGAGCTATAGAAGAAAATAATAAGATAGGAGGTTATGATCAGTTATTGCCCTAGACTCTTTTAGTTCCCGTCAGTACAATATTATCAATGCATGTTCAGTGCTGTTCTGTAAGTAAAGATCTATAAACTGACTCAATACAGGTCTTTAATATGAGCCCACTGTGCCATTTGGTATCCAATTTTTTAAAAGGGATGCCTATCCGATGACAGAGAGAAGAAATCATACAGTTTGGGAGATCATTTCATGGGTAATTTTGACTCCATATATTGACTTAAGTTTTAACAGCTTTTCAGGATCTGACTATATTTTGTCTTAGTCCTTTACTTGTCATATGGTTTCAAGTGTTCTGTATGTCTTCCTAGTAGAATTCAGCCTGTTTTAGAGAAGAAAGCAAGCCTGCATTTCCACTAAAATTCCAGGGACAACTGAAGCAAAGAATACATATTATTCAATGTCCCAAACAGTAAGGATCAAAATACTTTTATTTTCCCTATATCAAAACACTGCAATTTTTACTGAGAAAATATATTGATTTATTATATATGAACACAGTTTTCCACATGAACATGAATTTTAAAAGAAAAGGAAAATGTTCTCTTAATGGAGATTGTAAAACTTTGTAAAGTGTTTGTATCTCTTAGTTCATCTGTTATTAGTTTACAAAGTGCACAGATAATAATTACATGCCCTAAAGTAGTAATGTTCTTGACATAAATATTTTGGCAGGACCAATTTTTTTTTTTTTTTTTTTAGCAGGAAGCAACATTTTATTGTGCTGGCACAGACTCAGGGGATTCATGTCCAAAGACTGAGCCCTGAGAACAAAGAGGTGTCTCCTTATATACCCTTGCAAGCAGGTTACAGAAGCAAAAAAGCAAAGCTCAACCCACATATGGCTGCATGTGACTTATTGGCTATTTCATTCCCCCAGTGCTATGTGTCTTTCTTCATGTTTCAATTCTTTAACCTTTATCTCTCTGCTTTGCCATCCCTTCCCCTGCCTCATTTTCAGAACACAACCTGTCTGTTTCTCTTCTGGTCCTCCTCTGTGCTAACTACCATTCCCACACACCGGACACCTCCTCATCACTGGGAAGAGGGAGCAGAGAGGGCAGGTGGCCAGAAGTGGCCGATGGGAGGTGAAGTCACAGGACATGCTCCCTATACTGTCTGCCTGCCCAGCCTCACACCAACAGCCGAAAGGGGTTGAAAGCTCCCCCCCAACCCCAACAGATAGATGGGTCCCCCATGCTTGCTGCTCTAATGGTGGACTGGGCCTGTAGACTTAGGAGCACATGGTGGGGAGACACACTGCTGCAGGTTACAAACAGCCTCCTTTGCTCAACAGGATGCTGACCCGCACGTGCTATCCTTGTACTTGGGTGCCTGGCGTCCTCCCTATGGATCTGTCTCGGTCCGACAATTCACAGGGTCAGAGATTCTGTGGCAAAGCCAACTGAACATCCTGAATAGAGAAGACAATGTAGAGAGAAATTGAAGACTGTGGCAGATGGTGAGCTTTAAAGACCTGTGCAAAATCACAAAACCCGCTGTTTTCTGTTTCTGAACCTGATTGGGCAGTCCTCATAGGGTGCCCCCAATTCGATTGCTCTTGAGGCCCTGAGTGACATTGCATCTCACCAGTCCAGAGTTGCATAACTGAATGAGGTCACAATGACAAGTTCTGGAGGGAGGAGCAAGCTTCATTATAGAACAGGTGTACTACCTGTTATTGAGGATGATAGCAGATTATGAATTATAACAGGAGGCTAGTACATGGTAGGAGGTGAATTGTGTCTGCTCCGAAAAATTCATTTTGATTTTTCTAACACACAGTGTTAGCGGCAAAGTGAAACAGGTGTCATTAGATCAATACTCCTGGACTGAGGCAGCCTAAACTGTCTTTTTTTTTAAACTTCAGATAAAAGACTAGTTGTTGTACCAATACTGAGCCAGCTGTGAGGCCGATATTCCAGCATCCACACCAGCACCTCCAGAAGCAGCTCAAACCACACTGCTGCCCGGCTTCACACCTGACCAACTCACCTGGCACTAACCTGCTGCAGGTCACCTTCTATAGAACAAAAGTCTAACGTGCCATACCTTTAGCCACACCTTTATTATGACCACTTTTAGCATGTAAGCTAAGCATCCAGAAGTATTCTTGTTAAATTCTTGCTCTCTTTTCTTCATCACCATAATCTGAATTCATGTCATTTAATTACAATACTATCTCAGACTGGACAACTGTTTGGATGTATTTTCCTCAAATTCATAATTAATATTAATCCAGTCATGGGGGGGTGGGTCTAATCTGATTCGTTCGCTTTCTTTATAACAGGAAACAAATGGCAGGACCAATTTTAAAATTTTTCTAACACCTCTCAAGCATAACTAACCCAATGTGGATATGGTGCAAGCCTGTAATCCTGGTATTCTGGAGGCTGAGGTAGGAGGACTATAAGTTTGAGGCTAGTCTGGGCTACATAGTGAGATGGAGACAAGCGTGGGGTACTTAGCAAGGCCCTGTCTTAACAACATCTGCCCCCAAATAAAGCCAAACAAAAAAGCACAAAAATCTAGAAAAGTACAAATAATTCAAAATATTGAATTTCCCCTAAAGCAGAGAGATGCAAACTATGACCTTTAAGTTTTATTATGCAACACAACTAGTACCCGTCATATCTGTTTAAATATTGTCCATGGCTGCATTTGTCCTGTGGTAACAGAATTGAGTAGTTACAAGTAAACGTATGGCCCACAAAGCCATGGTTACTACATGGTCTATAATGGAAAAGAGGTGCTTCCTCTGCCCCTCCCTCACAGTGTAGTTTTCACA